CATCAGCTCAGTGCAACGGGGACTCGGGGTTCGACCGGTTCGGGGCCATTGGCTGCAATAGATTCAACCTGATTAGCCTTTGGAACAAGCTTGAATACGATTTACCAATAGGGGTGAACTGATTCTTTTTGAACGGCTCTCTTGGGTGAGGATTGTATTGGGGATCATTTGGTTGAGGATTATATGGATCTTGGTAAGTATGGGCATTTCTGGGAGGTGAAAATCGATTTTGTAGAAAATGTTGTGGCCGCGGGTAAGGTTGCGGGTTCATCACCGCAGAGGGAGGCGATGCCACGGCATAAGCAGCATCTTGAAGGGGATAATAATGTTGAGGTACATCAGGAAGCATATATGATTGGCTGAATGACCTGCGGGTCCCCCTCAAGCTTGAAGCTATTATGGCTCCCTCTTCACTTCTGTTTCCATTTATCAAACCCTCTGAACCATTTGGAATATCTGGTGATGTGGTTTTAAAAGCAGCATGACTCAAGATTCGACCTGTTTTTAAACCGTTTTAAACCATTCCCCCAATTTTGATAGCCTCAGTGAACGGTTTACCCATAGCAGGCATCATGTTCTGGAAGTAGTCTGCCTCTTGGTCCTGTAGAAAGACCGGGACCATTTCAATTTCGTCCATTGGAGGCTTTACCCTAGCAACTTGCTCACACCATTTGACAACATATTCGCAGAAGTTTTCCGAATATTTCCTTTTGCAGTCGGACAAAGAATTTCTATTCGGATGACAAAATCCCGAGCCAGGTCATCCCATATGTGCCAATGGGAGATGTCTTGGTCCATATACCACTCTGATGCAATTCCGGTTAAGCTCTCTCCGAAATTGGCCATCAAAAGTTCTTCTTTTATGCCCGCCCCTCTTAGCTGGTTGCAATATCTTTTCAAATGGGCGATCAGGTCTCCATGCCCGTCGTACTTTTCAAATTTTGGCATCTTGAAGCCAGATGGCAGGTGGGCATAGGGAAACATATAGAGGTCAGAGTATGAGACACTCTTTTGACCACTCAAACCTTGTATGTTTTTCAGGCTTTGTTCCAGGCTCTTCATCATCCGAGCCATTTCCTCCTGCTCGGGATTTTTAATAACTTTTTCTTGCTCCACCGAGAGATCATATTGCAAAGGTTGAGTGAAAGAGTATGAAGTCACATATGCTATTTCTGACTGAAGCTGTGGAACCTGAAAGATGAACATTGGAGGCGGTGCTCTTGAAGCCGGTGCTTGGGGGCGAACCATAGAAGGCATGCCAGGAACATTGGACAGCATTGGAGGGTGCCCGCCAATCTGTGCCTTTGGATCTTTTGAGGGAGGAGAGGCTAGACTACCAACAAAACCAACCACCAAAACCTGGCTAGTTTGTACACCCAACAACCTTGTTAGTTTTGAGACATTTAACATATAGGAAATCGTACGTTGGGATGCAATGCACCTAGTGGTTAAATGCCTCTACCATGTGTTTGAACGGTTACATGTTTCATCCCGGCCCTAACTAACCCTTTTTTACTCTGTACCTCTTTTCTTCATCTCTTTTCATCTCTCTTTTGCCGCTCTTTTATTTCTGGAACTCTCTTTTTCTCTTTTTGTTTGTCTTTTTTTTAAGCAATCCACTAGGCATAGCCTAGGGTTGGTTTTTATTAATATATAAAAGGAGAAACAAAGTGTCATGAAATCTTAAAAGGTGCACGAAATAAATTTTGCAAACTACATAATACCTATTATCAAAGTTGAGTAATGTACTCAAAGTTGATATCACACTTTGTATAACTAAAAGCCATGAATTAGTATACGCCTTTCTCCTTCGCATTTACTTCTATCCAGTTGCAATTTAGGTCCTGCTGTTTTCATACATAACTCTTTTCTATGTGGCTTATCGATCGCAATGTCCAGTCCATTCTTTTGTTGGTGCTGCTGCATTATTCATGCGTCCAAACTGTTGTTCCAACTTATTTCTTGTTGTTTGTCACCTTTTATTTCTTGTCGTTTTTTTTTCTTTTTCTTTTTTTTTCACTCTTTTCTTTCTTTTCCACTCAATTTTTTTTCAATTTATTTTTCACTCAATTTAATTTATGGCTGTGATCTAATCCGATGGGGATTGCCTACGTATCATGACGCCGCACGAATCAAATCTTGCATAGTTCGGGAAGATCGAGAATAGAGTAAAAAAACTAACTATTTTTTTTTACTTTTTATAAAATTCAGACCATGAAAGCTTTGGGACAAAAAAAGAACATATTTTTATTTTATTTTTTTGAAATTTTTTCTTTTCATTTTTTTTGGGAATTTTCGAAAGAAATGCTTGAAAAGAAGAAAGAAAATATTTTCTTGAATTTGATTATCATTTTTTTTATTTTTTATTTTTGAAAGAAAGACTTCTAAAAATTCATTTGCTTTTGAATTGAACTTTGAAATTTTACAAGTAAAAAGAAAATATTTTTGTTTGAATTTTCATTTGTTTTCTCTTTTTCTAAAGAAGAAAGAAAATATTTTTGAATTTTGGATATTACCTCTTAATTTTCGAAAGAGGGACCTTTTTAAGAAAAATAATTTGGATTTCTGAGTTTTTTTATTTACAAAAGTACTTCTAAAGAAAAGCGAAAAATATTTTAGACTTTAATTTTTTCAATTATTTTGACATTTACGAAAGAAAGACTTCTAAAAAGAAAAAAATTATTTTTGAATTTTTTTTTCCTGATTTATTTGGGTGAAAAATAGTTCAAAATGAAGGAAACCCGTATTTTGGATTTTGATTTTAATTTTTTTTTTCATTTTTTCCGTATGAAAGACTTTAGAAAGAAGGAAAATACTTTTTTGAGTTTTTAAAAATCTTTTTTTTTTGAATTTTCTAAGGAAATGCTTCTAAAGAAGGAATTAAAGGAAAATATTTTTGGATTTTTTAAAATTGGCGACAGAACCGATGAGGTTTGCCTACGTATCTCACATCCGGTAAGAATCAGACCCGCGTAGTTTGGTTAGTTTTGATGGAACAAGAGAAACATGGCACTTGAAAATTTTGGCTCATTTTGAAATGACTTTTCATTTTTCAGAATTTTGGCAGAGTTTCAGAATTTTCTAGACACCTACCTCTCACTTTTTTTCTTTTTATTTTCTTTCCCTATTCTAGAAGCCGGTCAACATGCAAGACGAAACAAACAGATGCGCAAATAGCGCGTAAGATGTATCAGGATAATCTTTTTAATTTGGGTACACCTGTCCTAGACGGACCCAACCCCTGTGTTGAGTCGCCAAACTCAGATGCACATGATGCGAACAAATGTACCTACTAGGGATTCGACATGAGGCTATGTTATACTAGGTTTAAGAACCTG